ATGGACTTGGGGGTGGTAGTAAGATGAGAAGCTTGACATGAACCACCGGTGTGCACTGGAACCCAGAGGGCCAACTGCATCCTGGGCTGCATCAAAAGAAGTGTGGCCAGCAGGGCCAGGGAGGTGATTCTGACACTCTGCTCTGCTCTCTTGAGGGAGGACATCCTGTCCTTGGCTTCATCTAACTGTTATTCTTTCTGCACTAGGAATTGCTGAAAATTATACTTGTGAACACAGAAAGTCCATTCCCAAGCAATTAGCTGCCAGAGAGGGAGGCAGTGGAGGAGGGAGGGCAGGAAGTAACAACAGTGTCTCCTGCAACCTTTCTGTGCAATTGGGTAAATAAGCTGTGGAGCAGCACTGTGCCCAGCTTCTCACCCTCTTTCCTAAGCAGGTGCATTGTGAGATGTTTGCAAAGATATTACTCTGCATACAGAGTATGCCAGTCCGTAATTATGGAAATTAGTTGGCAATTAGATAATGTCACTCACTCTCTGCATACAGCTGATAAGCAGTTAAGAGCCACTCCAAAATGAGGGTGAGACCCTCTCCATGGGCTGCTGAGCAGATCGCTCTGACCTGGCATTAATAGGCTGCTCTAAATTTTGGGAAAGTATCTGGTGTTTGGGCATAGCACTGCTGTGAGGCTGCCTCCCTTTCCTGGCTTGGAAGTTGTGCAGCTCTATCAGCCCTCTGAGTGGGACGTTTCAATAGCGAAGTGGATGTGTTTCCTACAGCGAGTTTTTTTTTGTGTGCAAGATGCTGAACCATCTATTCAGTGTGCGGGTTCCTCTGTCTCAGCTCTCCAGCTGGCCAGGGAGGCGGTACAGGTTGCTGGAGGTGCAGTAAATGTAAATTCCTGTCTCTCTTATTCCTCCAGGGTAGCAAGCACTTAAAATGCTCTGCAAAGACCTTGCCTAGCAGTTTGTTGAACGGCTGATCACATCAGGCTGTCTCCCTTGTGCTTCTAAGTCACATTCAGCCAAAAAAATAACAGGGAAACTATTTGTTGTTTTCCATGTGAGCAACAGGTGGATGTGGAACAGGGTGTTCTTAATTTGTGTCTGGGAAAGGTGATGTCCATCATGAAGTCTTGAATTTGTCAGATGTGATCATGCTGTGTTAAAGTTTGAGATTCCTCAGAGATAAAACATATAAGAAAATACTATGGGATTCTATAGTTATTGTCCCAAACTGTAATGTATTGCTATGGTAGCAGTGTGCTGCATGAAGCTGCTAGGGCAGTACTTATGCTAAAAATAAAATGGTAAAAGCAGAAAATTATCCATTCTCAGTGTGTCTTGGAGGATAATGGTGGGAAATGTGTGAGACAGATTTCTTATGTCAGGATTAACTCTCTGGAGGTTGGGATTCAGATCCTGGCCACTGCTAAAAAGGACATTAAGTCTTCTGAGCTTTCCTTGAGGACTCCACTGATGTGGGGTGAGTTGTGCTTTCATGGGCTGAACTGTGTGAGACACAAAACTGAAACAGCGGGAAATGCCGTGTGTCAGGATTGACAAGTGCTGAAAGAGCTCTGGAGAAGCCTCAGATGGCCTCAGCCTGCTAGCAGCTGGGTGCAGGCAGCCTTCCCACAGCCTGAGCTGCAGTGTCTGAAAGGCAGTGAAGCACCCAGAAATGACACCTATGATGTCATGGTTTTTGTGTCTTCCTCCTCTTCTGAAAAAGAACTGGCACTGTCTTCTTTCAAAACAGCTAGAAAGGAATTACCTTGACTTCTCTCAATTGAAACAGATAGAGAAGGTTTGCCTTGGCTTCCCTCAGTCAGCAATGGTATTCCTGTTTAACCTTTTAGCTGGACTGCCCAGAGATGTTGTTGTCTTCTTCTCTGGAGATACTCAAAATCTGCCTGGACACGATCCTGTGCAGCCTGCTCTAGGTGAACCTGCTTCAGCATGGGGTTTGGACTAGATGATCTCCAGAGGTCCCTTCCAACCCGTACTATTCTACAATTCTATGATTTCTGTCTGTTTTTTTCTTGTTAACTGCGGCTTTTGTCCACTCCCAGTGAACATGTATTGATGTTACAGAAATCTGTACCACAGAGGTAGCCTGCTCCCTGTACTGTGCCTTTGAAATAGGGTTGAAGTGACTCATGGAGACTGAGATTTCTTTGTGTGTATAAACAAAGTTTCAGCAAGCTGGTGGTGTGAGAGATTGGTAGGCTTTTCAGACAGGAGTTTGGGCTGCATCATGACATTGTGTCTCATCTGTGGTTATCTATGGATAACCACACCTGCTGCCTGTGTTTTACAGCATCTTTCACTGGTTCTCAAATGCTTAGTCTCCTAAAACGGAGAGAAGAGTAGCAAGGTTGAGGGCTACTTCTGATGCAGATGGTGTAACCCCCCTTGCCCAGGAGAATCAAAAGCTGTTGTGAGAGCCCCTCTGGATTGGGATCTCTGTAGGTGGTTGGTGCCACACTGGGCTTGCCTTCCTCCCTAGTTCAGGCTGAGCACAGAGCTGTCTGATGGAGCAGTGAATTTGCTATGGTGGTGGTAAATGTTCCAGGGAACTGTAAGCTGCTGGGAGCACATTGCTGGCTAAGGTTCACACATTATTATATTCATATTCCAATCTCATCAATAATTTCAGGATTGGGTCATCGTTTTCTGTTTTACTTCCCTCTCCCTCTATTCTCCTTCTCCATAAATCATGGGTTATTTTAGTGAAGCCACTAGGGAGCACAGAAGAGAAAGGTAAACGGACAAGAGCCACATAGTTATTTTTTCCAGTTAGTTTTCAAAGTCCCCAAAAACCCCATGAGTTGAGCCAAAATCAAGATTATTGAAAAAAAATAATGATCTGAGCATTTGGATCTGTGGGTTGTTTTTTTTTCATTTTACACCTCTCCTAACACATCCTTTTTCCTCCTTCCATTCTCCTGAGCCAAGCTGTTAACAATTAAAGGAATTATCTTCCCTCTGGTTTTGACTTGATTTTATCTGTGTTTATAGCAGTTTAGCTAACAAGCTCCACTCAGGCAGCTGCAGGGAACAGGCCTGGTTTCCATTGGGCACTGAAAACTCAGATTTCTCTCCAATTTGCGGGTTTTCTTTTAATTGACCCCTTTTGTTTTCTAAGTGACTTGTGTTTCATGCTGACTAAATCTGCCACACCGGCAGCTCTGGAGACTAACAGCTTCTGCAGCTCCCTGTGACTATGTAAGCTCTTCCTCCATGATTCTCCTTCAGTTCAACCTTTATCCTTATCAAACAGAAGCCTTTCTGCACTGCCCATTTTTTCAGTGTCTGCACTCCTTCAAAGTAAGGTGGATGGTGGGGTTGAAAGGCATCTGCTGGCACCACCAGCAGCCCTAGGAACTCTCATTGTCTGGAGCACCAAACACTTTACTCAAGCAATTGCTGTCTCACGGTATTTGTGACCCAGCTTATTAAGTCTGTGGTCATGTTTGCTTCTGGGAGGGTGAAGGCCTGGATTCTTACCACCCCCTTTCCTGCTTCCTATCTGTGCTAGTGTTAGCCACCCCCAGAGCTGCTCTTGTTCCAAACCCATCCTTGTAGACAAGCACCTGTATTAATGGAAAGCTTACTTTCTTTTTAAGCAAATTTGTCAAAGAATGAGCCTGGCTTTGTGCTCTCTTTTCTTGTCACCTTCAGACATCCTCCAACCCCAGGCATAAAGCCACCCACATACAAATGGGCAGAAGTGAATTAAATCCCAGTGTTAACAGGTGTAACTCCTGCTCACCGAAGGCGGTTGGAATTGCTCGGCTAGGGATGAATTTGGCCTTTTTGCCAAACCACTAGACCATGGTTAATGGTTAAGTGCTTAGACAGTTCTTATCATCTAAGTTACAAGATTCCTATCATCTAAGCTGCAGGTTGCCATATATCATTTGCATAGCACATGTTTCCAGGTTGCAGAGGTCCCTGTTAGAGTCCCTGAAGTGTACATGACATGTAAAGTAAAAGCAGCTGTTGCATGCCAGGCTGACAGCAGGGTTGTCTTCTCTAATGTTTGCTTGGTGTGCTAGAAAGTATAAGGAAAGCAGTGGAATGGGAAGCTTGGATAGTGTCTTGCCTTGTATCAACTCTTAGACTCTAGGAAATTCTGGTCTTTGCCCCAAGCATTTTCATGGAGAGGGAATTGTTACTGGGAAGGCTTCAGTTTCTTTCAGAAAGTTGCATCCATTGAAGGAATTAAACAATTTGGTGTCATTTATGTTGCTCAGTGTTGTGGTGTGTGGATATCTTGATTTGGTCCTCTTCAGTTTTGAGGACACAGGTGTCCTTGCTACTTTGGAGGACTGTATAGCCAACTGCATGCATGAAGAAATGACCAGAATATCAAGAAATGTAAATGAGTTACTGAACAAGTTGTTAATAAGCTTCATGGTAAAGATATGGTGAGCAACAGGACTAACCTTTTCCTTTCTTTTCTTCTCTTGACCCCATAGGTCCTGCAAGCTCTGAGAGTGCCAAACAGTGAATAATGGGCTGGGTAGCCAACAGTGCATCATGAAGATTGACTTTATTTTTGCCCTCTTGAGGTTCACAAGCTTTATGAATTCACTTTCTCCTCCATCTGACTGCCACCTCTGTCAATATTGTTATCACTTCTAGGAAACTAGAATTTGAGGCTTGGGCTTCAGCTCTGCCTTTCCTTCCTTCCTGGAACAACCAGTCACTTTTGCATTCTACCAAAACAAATCACTGTGGGTTATTTTGCCCTTCACAAAAGTACACCAGCTGGAGAAGTCACTTCATACACCCTGTACTTTTGAAATAGAAGCCTCTGGATCCTAAAATATAATTGAGATCTTTCCTTGGGGAAGAGATATTTCCTCTTGGTCACGTGCACTTGCTATCTCACTTTCCACTTTCCCTCTTTCTCTGTCACTCTCTGCTCTTGCCTCCTCTTCCAGTTGGATTTAACATTTATTGTTGACTGTTGGGTCCTCCTCCCAGTCGTGTGGCTTTTGGTTTTCTCCTTGGGAAGAGCAGATTCTTGTAACAATGGGCTTCACTCTGCACTCCGTCTACTTCACCTTGAAGCTGAGTTTGCTGCTGGGCTCCTTGCTAGGTCTCTGTTTGGGTCTGGAGTTCATGGGCATCCCCAATCAGTGGGCTCGCTACCTCCGCTGGGATGCCAGCACTAGGAGCGAACTCAGCTTCCAGTTCAAGACCAATGTCTCTGCTGGGCTGCTTCTCTACTTTGATGATGGTGGTGTCTGTGACTTCCTCTGTCTGTCCCTTGTTGATGGGCGCATCCAGCTTCAATTCAGTGTGGACTGTGCAGAGACTACAGTTATCACAGACAAACAGGTCAACGACAGCAACTGGCACTTCCTGATGGTCAGCCGCAATCACCTTCGGACAGTGCTAGTGTTGGATGGTGAAGCTAAGCCAGGTGAGGTGCGTCCACAACGCCAGTATATGAATATCGTCAGTGACCTTTTTGTTGGTGGAGTCCCACTGGACATCCGTCCTGCTGCCCTGACTCTTGATGGTGTTCTGAGTGAGCCTCCATTTCAAGGATTTATCCTGGATCTGAAATATGGCAACACTGAACCACAGCTCCTGGGCAGTCAAGGGGTCCGTCTAGAAATGGAAGGGCTTTGCGCAGAAAACCCCTGTGAAAATGGTGGCACTTGCTTCCTTCTGGATGGTGAACCACACTGTGACTGCTCAGCCACTGGATATGCTGGCAAACTGTGTTCTGAAGGTAAGGCAATACTTTCCTGCTTCCCATTGATCGTTACATAATCCAAAGAGTTAATTTGTCACTTAGCAGAGCTACTGCTGAGCTCCTGTCCCTGCTCCTGGTTATCTGAGGAATTAAAGTTCCACCGTTCTTTTTCCAGCTGCAAGTAATGAAATGGGGGTAGATGGAGAGCATGAGCAACTGCAAAAAGTGTCTTTCTGAAAGGAGGCTACATTTGTAGCATGGGCAGATTTTAATCAGCAACTTATTGTTAATGGTAGAGAATTTAAATTGGTAAATACAGAAGTACCCTATGTTTGAGTTGGTAAAAGCAAAAGTAAGAAGTTATCTTAGCTACCCTGCGTCCCTAAGAACTGAGTGAAGTGTGGGTAAACAGGAGCCATGTGTGTGAGGCTAACACAACTGATTGGCAGGACACTGCAAAAGCTAGGCTGCCTTTGATGTTAGCTGTTGCTAGTCTGTGGAAGCCCTGTGCTCCCCCTCTGTTACTTCCGTACCCATCGCTGAATGGCACCTTGAATGTTTTAGCATCCTTGATTAAATTGCTTTGGGACCTGCTGAATAATCTTACTTAGTATTGCAAAAGGAAGAGGGATTTGAATGTTTCTACAGTGTTTCACACTCTTAAAATATGAGTCTGGAAATTTTAAGTCATGCAAACCACATGGTTTTTTTGTGTTTTTTTTCTTGTTTTTTTTTTTTTTTTTTTCTTTCCTTTTTTTCCCCTTGGTCTTTAGCAGTGTGATTGTAGTTAACTCAGTATTGTGCAAGAGTCAACTGGAAATCCTAGTGTGATTTGGAGAATCTCATCACAGCATTTTTCATGACATTTGGGTTTAAGCACAACAGTTTGAGATTAAAATGAAGATGAAACCTGGGCAAGCAGTGTCCAATCTCAAGGGAATAAAGAAGAACTTTTGTAAAAATGGAAATATTTGCCATAATTTCTTATAATGACTAGTGTTTGTTTGCTTCTTCTGGCAATGAGAACAGATTAACCAGAATTTAGTATGTAGAATGTGAGACATTATGAAAATAAAGTCCCTATAATGTTGATATGCAAGCAAAAGCCCTACAGAAATACTATGTAAATACAGGTCTAGGTTTACAGTATAGATGGAGAAGCAAACATGTTTTTATAGGAAGGGAAGGTTGGAAGATAAATATCGCATCCATATGTGCATTCATTTTAAGGTGCTATTAATGATAACAGAAAATCTGGCTTTATATAAAAATATTACAGTAACAGTATATGATCATTAGATAGGAGATGTGAGCCTGTGAAGTGCTGAACACTAGAATTCTTCCTGGCTATTTGCTCCACCCTGATCAGGTCCAAACCAATGAGCCGGAACTATTTTCTGCCCTTGAACCATGAGTTACATGGAGCTGGAGGGCCTGCTGGATGTGCCCTGGCACTTGAATAGCTGGGCCACTGGGCCTGATCCTCATATACTCACAGAACAAATTCATGTCTAAATGCCAGTTTTGGGTGATGGAAGATTGCAAGAAGCACTCAGGCATGTGGACCCTGAAACAGAGATATAAGCCGCTTTCTGTTGCTGTGTTAATGGATCCAGACTCCATGGGAAGCTGCTTAAGACATCAACAACATATGGTTTTCAGTGAATGTCTTGAGAAAATCCTGTGAGTGAGTGAGGCTTCCATGTATCTGTTGGGCAATTGTGAAAACTTTAACCAAGGCTTGGGTGGTGGAATTTCTGCATTTCCTAGGTGGGTGGAACAATATGAAATCCATCTTCTAATGAATCCAGGGATATTTCTGTTGTAGACATCACAGATCAAGCAGTGTTATTGTTATCTTTTGAAGCCATGTGTCACCATTGCTCTTTGTTTCTTATAGTGATTCATCAGTTTCCAGCCTAACCTTCTATTAAGGGTGAGCAAAGAAGTTTGTCATGATGTACCTTTTTTTGTAAACCTTTTTAACTCCCTGTTAGCTGTGGTCTGTTCACACAGAAGATGCTGTGCAGAGAACTTTTCCAATGGAACAAATGCAGAGACTTCCACAGTCATTACCTTCTTGTCCAGTTCTTCAGTTTTCTCTTGTATTATTTCATGGTGTATATTTGGTTTATGTTAGAATTCTGTAATCAGCCTTGTTTTCTGCCTCCTTTATGCTGCAGCAGTGGTGATTTCTCTGTGATAAATTCTGTGCCCCAAAAATGTTAACAGTATCTGCACAGACTGTGAAAAAAAAAGGGAAAGACAGAAGGAAACTGTTTAGTAAGTGGAAACAAGCAGACAAAGAAAAGTGGCAAGGAAACAAAATAGGAACCAAGTTAAGTATAGCTAGCTTTTTATCTAATTTTGAAAAATGTATCAATTTCCAAAGGTGGTTTATTTCAATTCTGTGAGTGTGACAGAACCTCCACTGATGAACAGGATGGAGGATGTGGTAGGAACTGAAGAACTGGTTGCAGGTCATTTCTACCTGTGGTTTGGTTGGCCATTAAGCAACTTGTATTTTCTTTGTTTGCTTTTTTCCCCAAGCGATTGAGATGTTTATTGTCAGACCTGTTCCCTTTTGCTGTGTTTCCTTATCCTGTGTGTGGATATTTGCAGAAGTAACATTATTATTTTATTCCCAATGTCATTTTTGAAAAAGAAATGCTTTTGCAACTGGATATCAACAACCTCCTCCTGGGGGAGATCCTTAACTCCATTACAGTATTTACTAGTCTGTAGTCTGTGTGTGCATTTTCATTTCATCACTGGAGCTGGCTCTTTCACTGGGAGCTGATGGGATCCAACCAATAACAACTTCTGTTTGAACAGTTAAATGTAATATGTACCTTTCTAATAATGAGTTGTCTTGACTGTGTCCAGGCCGTTACTTGGCTATTGACTGATATCTATGCCTGCAGATGGTAAAATGGTAAAACCACAGCAAACTCATTTTTTTCTGTGGCCAAATGAAATAGAGAGTGAAACCTGCTGATCCTCTACTGTAATGGAGTGAAGCTCCATTTACAGTATGAGGTGTTACTGCCACACAAAGTGCTGTTCCAGTTATGGTGAACCTCAGCAGAGAACAACCATTCCATACTGAGACAAAACTGTAAATGCTGTCCCTTGCATGGCCGTGATATGCGTGAAGATTTTTGACGCTTCATGTGCACCCAGAGTTACCTGGATTGTCTATGTCATGGTCACTATGTGCTCAGATGGGTAGCAGAGCTGGTCATTGCTGGTCAATGAGAAGTACGATTTCTGTCTGAGTGTATAAAATGCATGCACACTTTGGAAGGTTTGACTGTTTTGAATAAAATGTGGTACTATTTTTATTGCAGCTGGAGTAAACTGCTTCACTGAATCTGACAGCTCTGTAGGGCACAAAGGATGGCTGATTTGAGTAGCAATTAATTTGTATGTTTCTGGCCAGTGGTGGCATTAGACATGAAAGCTGAAGTCAGAGACACTTTCCCCTCCAGTAAGCCTCATCAGTTGCTGTGGGATCAGGCTGCTGACAAGACAATGAGGTTCCTGTAGAATTTGAGCAACACAGATGCATTCATGTTACTGGAAGAAAAAAAACAAACAACAAAACCATCCCCATGCAAATTTTGAAAACTGTGCTGCTGTAGCAGTCAGATGAGTGTGTTCATATCTGCTTATTCAGGATCACACTGTCTCCCTTAGTCTGCAAGAAATTCTCTCTTACTCCAACATTGCACTAATGTGGACAGTGTGAGTGCAAACTGTATGCACAAGAGTATTTTGGCCCAAGACCTCACCCTTCTCCCTAGGCCCGTTCTGGACTTTGGGAGGAGAGGTGAACAGAAGATGTGCTTAGAAATTACATTAACTCTGCTTGTAGTTGCAGAACCAAGATGTTGAAGTCATCACCAGCTTCACAAAGCGCCTTTGTGTTGCCTGCAGGGGCTGTTTCTAAACGAAGCCTGAATAGGGGCCTGATTGCACCTCTTCCCTTGATTACAGAGCAAGATTTCCTGGGGATGCTGCCTGCTGAATGACAGAGGAGCCCATAGCTCTGTAATTATCACACTTTTAATGGCAGCGGGAACAGATTTTTCTATAGCCCCTCAGCTTCATTTAAAGCTACGAGTTACTGCAGAATTTATCCTCCACCTGTTCCTTCTGAGCAGCCCAGTTTTGACTGCATCTACAGGGACAACTTAGCCTCACTTGCAATCTCCCTGCCAGCCACCCCAAACTTTGCAATACTAAGGGCTAATTTGGCACTTTGCCATGAGCCTGATGGATGCACTTAATTTGCATGTGCATTTACATATATTTTGTAATCAGAAACAAATGAACACAACAATAATATTTGCTTCCACTTGCATATTCTTTGATAGATGAGTATAAATTGGTTGCTGTTGAATTCACCAGCAATAAACAGCTGCAGACCCTCAATTTGGTCTTGTGCTCTGCTGTTCTAGAGGACAGCAGGCAGTTCTGAGTTGCACTTTGACAGGCCCAGATCTTCACTCACCAGTGCAAAACTCTAGAATTGATAGTCTCCAAGGCCTTTGGAGGGAAAAATTTGTTGGTTTATGCCATTGGGCAGAAGGCTGGTAAGAACTCTGCTTGTCACTTAGTTTTGCAGAAAATTGTCTCTGTGCCTCATTCCTCCTGGTTCCTTTGGTTGTATTTAAAATAGTAATTGCTATCCAGTTGATTGTAATTTTTTGATGCACTGCCAGATGAGCACTAGAGAAAGATGATGTGTTAAGATATGAATTAATGTTTATAATGTGCTTTGAAACTCCCAAAGTGCAGTTTAAACACCATTTGTTATTCTTAATAATAAATACTAAAACTGAGCAGAAGCCACAGAATTTGAATTCAGATTCTACATACCCCTTCGCAGAAATGGTCTGTCACCCATTTGCTCTCACTAAGTGTGGACTGCCTGCAGCTCCAGGCCTAGCTGTATTAGTTTTGTACCCTCTCCTGCTTTTAATGCAGGGGATCCACAGGGAGATTACAGGCCCCTCTATGGAGTGTGCCAT